AAATATATTTTGTCCAAATAAAGTTTTTCTAATGAATGGCACATTGAAATAATTGGAAACTATATTTACTTAAACCCATTTTTTATCATTTTATTTTAATATAAGCTAATAAATTAATTTCGATCGATATCGTATAAATTTTCTAATTAATTTAATACTTTGTAAATATATGAAATATTAGTGAACGACCTGAATTACTGGTTTCCGTCTGATCACTGAAGTCAAGCAACGTTGACACATGGTTAGTAAAATGGATAAATTTTTCGTTTGGAAAAATAAAAAAAAAACCATATGCTGTTGATTCCAGAAAGGCAGGGTAAAAAAAATACGTCCTCTCTTTGGTAGTATTATAAGAAGGAGATAGACCATAGAAAAGTAATTCGAATCCCGTAGAAAAAAGGAAAAAGATATACACACAAAAAGAAAAAGAAATAAGAAGAAAAAAAATGAAAAGAATATATCAAATATTTGATTAAGCAATTATATTTTCTTATATATATATATATATATATATATGTATATATATTGAAATATTTCGTATAAAATAATTCTAAATAAAATTGATAACAATAATAATACAAATCTTACAATGATCGATACTAACTGTAAGATCTAATAATAATCGTTATCTTTGATCTATAAACAACTTATTTAGAAAGTGGTACAAGAGTCTATTTTCTGTTTCGAGAAAAATTAAATGTTTACATGTTAACAATTAATATAAAAAATATACGTTAATTATGTCAAGTCTAACAATGTTTCCACTAATTTATCAATATATATAATTTGATTATAATATAAATTGTCCTTTAGTCTAATTTAAATTAAAATAATCCATATATATTAAAGGGCTTTCCAAATGGTTTCGATTTACAACCACTTTCAAAATAAACGTTTAATATCAAATTTTGAGGATCAATTTGGTAAAGAAATTTTCGTAAGGTTGATACTCGTAATCGTAAAGATAAAAGTTCCTTAGTCATCATCACCATCATCATCATCATCATCATCATCATCATCATCATCATCATCATCATCATCATCAGCCCGTTCGTTCGCGAGCTTATTTCTAGTCAACGGCGACAGTGTGTATGTATGTATATATGTGTGTATGTATGTATGCGCGCGTCCGGACGCCGCCAAGCCGATCTGCTGCTGACCCACGAAGAAGAAAAGGAATGATACGAGCAACCGCGTCGTAAGGTTTTATACTGCGTGTGTAGAATCATCACGTGACGAACTCGACTCGACTCAACTCGGTCTTTGGCCCTCTTAAGAATCGTCAACGATTCAGTTTGCCGGCGCGATCCGCGAAGCGTGCTTCTTCTATATTATTTCTGTCTCTGTTTCTCTCTCTTTCTTTCTTTCTTTCTCTCTTTCTTTCTCTTTCTTTCTATCTATCTAAATATAAATTATTATTACAATAATAATATAATTAATCTCATAATAATAGTTTTGATTTCTAACGTAATAAGGTCGTCATCGAAATTTCTACATCTTCGTCTATGTTTTTGCTTTGACATGGTAACAACTGCGTTCATTGCTGACAAATCAAATACGTTCTCTATCTCTTTCTTTCTCTTTCTCTCTCTCTCTCTCTCTCTCTCTCTCTCTCTCTTTATTCGTAATCATATGACCGTCAATAGATAGAGAGAAAGAGAGAGAAAGCTAGTTAGCTAACTAGTTAGCTAGCTAGCTAGCTACGATAAACAAGAACTGTGTATAATATATATATATATGTATACTCGGTAGTGGAAATTTTAAACGCAAGAGGAAAATACTAAGGAAAGAAACGATCGGTGAATTATATTAAATAAAAGTGTTATATTGTGTCTTTTTAACATTGGGTGTGTGTATGTGTGTGTGTCTTATATTATCGGTGAAACAATGAATCGAAATGTTATATATCTGTGCGATGATACACTGTTGTCTTATTAAGATAGTGAAAAAAGTGTGTTTGATAATTTGATTGAAAAGTTAAGAAACAAGGAAAGGTACAAACCAAAGTCGACGAGATGTTGAAATATATGAATCGGACTGGACGACCTCGAGTCGTGGTAAGGAAAAGGAAAGGACGGTCGTTGTCCAGAAGTTGGCCTGGTACACCTATAACTTTATCCATCGCCTCTTCTGAGGTAAAGTTATGAGGAATAATTTTATAAACAAAATTTTATCTCTTTTTTTTTTCTTTTGTCTCAATCTCTGACAGTATAATAAAAATTTATCATATAGAAATTATAATTGAATCCAATTTTTTTTTACATACGATATAACGAAATGACCATTATTATGAATTATCGTGATCTATATTTAATGAAAAATGAAAATTCAAAGTATTCTTGTCTCTCTCTTCTTTTTTTTTACATACGTGAATAGACAGAAAGAGAGAGAGGGAGAGAGAGAGAGAGAGATGTAGTGGTGTTCGCGCGCGCGCGTACGCACAAACACGCATACATATAAACGCCCATATAACTCTGGCAGGCCCACGCAGAGCACGAGTAACGATGGGAACAGACGGAAGACAACTAGGAGGAGGAAAGAGGAACTTTATAATGATTATTTCTTACTCGTCCCTTGGATACTTTGTTGAGATGCATCGTTTTTTTTTTTTTTTTTGAAAGATCTTTATCTCTTTCCCTCCCCTTCGTTTCTCTCTTTGTCTATTTATCTTTCATAAAAATCGAGATAAGAAACTTTTAAGATTGAAACTAATTGTAAAATCGAAAACGTGTTGAAAATTATTTTTTTTTTTTTATCCTTGCTCTTTATCATTTTTAATTAACGATTTTTGTATGCTCCGTTTCCTTTAACTTATTATTTTTTCTTTTATTTATTTATTTATTTATTTTTTTTTTAACTACATAGAAAATATTTAATTAACATCCTTATTAGATATGTAATATTTTACGTAATTTTTTTTAATATTTTATAATTTCTTATTTTTTGCTTTGACAAACTAGAAAAAAGTTTTCGTAAATTTTTTAAAAGCCTGACAATGTTTGTAAAAAGTTTTGATTAATAATATTTTATTGGTATAAAGAAATATTCTAGTTATTAACGAAAACTCGTTCATCTCTACTTTTCTCCACCTTCTCTTCTATCCCCCACTTTTCATGCTCTAAACAATAATTATTTATAATTTGCGTATTACGCAATGGAAATGCATGCAAATTTTTGTCTGATGGTTGTTTTTAAATTGCATCACGCTCGTCGTGCTTCTCTTACTCGGTCATCGCGATTGCATTTTCGTCGTGTGTCCGATGACTATGATGTCATTTATACGAAATTGTCAATAAACGCGATTGCAATCGCATAATTTTCTGATTTTTTTTCTTATCCTTTGTGTAATCAGCTTTGTCATTAAAATGTATGCTTTAATGCATATTTACGTGTGTATTTATTATGTACGTTTATTTTTATTCCGATAATTCGAATGATTCTCATTTAGAAATGGTGATTAAAATTTCTTTTATTATATACATAAATATTCGTTTTATACGCCGATAATTATGACAACGAATTTGTGTCAAAAAATTAAAAAAAGAAAATTAATTAATTAATTTTATGATTTACCTTATCTTATAAATAATTATTGCTTTAAATAAATCATGAAATTAATATTTTCGACAATCAACATTTTGAACAAATATTAATCGTCCTATAACAATACGGAAAATAGCAAAAAAATTGAATCTATCAAATTCAATCATTCGCGATCATTTAAAACACTTTGTATACTACACTATCGAAAATATGAAATTACTTGTCGAATAAAATAATATTATATTTTTATTAATTATATCCTATTTTGATCTTCATAATTAATTGGTTTAAAAAAAAAGAAAAAAGAATAAACTCGACTATTAACAAAATGAAGATTTACTCGTACTTTATTATTGCAAAAGAAAGCTTATCAAGGAAAAAGATGTTATCTCCTTAGAGAAGAGTGCGTGACAATATAATATATCGAAGGGGATATATATATATAATTAAGAGCGAACGCCTTTTTCCATAGTAAAGTTCGCGTGGTAGGTTGGTATTGTTTCGTGTCTCGTAGTTAAACATTCATGCTCCGGTGGCGACAAATAATTTTCACTATTTTTATTTTTTTATTTTTTGCGGAAATCCTCTTCTCTTTATCCTCCTCTTATTCTCATACACAAGCGACTATTTCTTTCTCTCTCTCTCTCTCTCTCTTGTCATAGCCCCGATGAAACTACTTTTCGTTCCAAAATTGGCTAAATATTTGTTCGGACAATCGAATCACGAGGGAGCGGTTCTGTGAATGGCGAGTATAACTAGCATATCTGCCGGAAGTCCGGCCTACGAGTTCCGGCCCGAAGCACGTACGTTTTCTCGTTGTCTCTTGCTTTTTCTCTTTTTCCCTTTCCTCCTTTCTCATCCTCCTTCTTTTTCTCTCCTTTTTTTTTCTATTACTCAACACAACACAAACTGCTATCCATATAACTGTCATCCGAAAAAAAAACTGTCTCCGTTGCAAGCAGCATATCGCGTACACAGTGACGCGGAAAGTTGATGCAGCTGAGCTCCCGGAGCTTCCATTAGCAGCAGGTGGCATGATCGTGATATAGATTATCGTAGAAACAATGTATATATACATACATACGTATATACATACATGCACAAAGGATCTTTCGATAGAATCCATTTTAAAACGAAATATTTATTCCGGTAAAACGAAGATAGAGAGAGTGAGAGTGAGAAGGAATTCCGGTAGTCTCACCTTTTCTTTTTATTATTATTTTTACGATAAAGAAATAGCATTTAGATTATGTGATAATCTCGTTCGTAGATAAATATTTGTTTACCCCTACGAAATAATGATAAAAAGCAAAAAAAAAAAACATCAGTGAGGGATGGGGGAAAGTTTAAAAAACTTCGATGAAAAATATCTAAACTTTATCGACCTATTTACTTCCAGTTTTATATTTCCTTTCAATTTTCAATGATTAATTTCTTTTTTCTTTGTTTAATTACAGATCGATTATCCAGAAGTCCATGGAGGAGGAAGGATGCATCGGCCACCTCATCCGCATCCCATAACAGACCATCGTCAGGTCAATCTGGTCTTCGACGATACGGTAGATATACACAACCTTTCGATCTTTCTATTCTTCGAAAAGAAAGAAGAGAGAGAGAAAGAGAGAGAGAAAAAAAACAAGAAGGATGGGCGTTTGAATTGGTTCCTCCTTAGTTAGTTCCTTCGAAAGGTTACGACCGGATCGATCACGGGAACCTTTTCCGCGTCGACGTTTGATATCGCCTTCACGTTTATTTCCATCCATTACATTTTTTTTTCTTCTTTTTTTCTTTTTTCTTTTTACGCCAGTCTTTACAAGATCATCCGATATTGCGTCATAGAGTATGATACGTGTTATACGTAAGCGTAAACCTACATATGAGGATGAGAAAGAGAACAGAGAGAGAGAGAGAGAGAGAGAGAGAATGTGTGTATGTGTGTAAGAGAGAGAGAGAGAGAGAAATATGAGGACAGGTAGTTTTCTTTATCGACAACGATGTGTGACGCGTATGCTCTTGCCTACGCACCCCCAACCGCAAACGCACTCTCATGCTCAAACTTTTTATACGTTTGTGTAAGGAGTCACGTGCCTTTTTCATCCTACTTTTATATACAAATACATATGCATGGATCTCACGTTTTAAAAATCCAACTTCTTTATGGATATCCATCAAACGGAAATATAATATATCGAAGTTCTTTTTTCATAACCGTACCATAATTTCTCCATCGAAATTGGATTAATCTTTTGGAAGATGAATTAATTCACGATAACTTGGTCACATAGTCGCAATTGACATTCTTTCATCTTACTGCTCCAGATATGAAATTCCTATTTGGAGAATGTATATATACAAGATGGTCTTAAGTCCGATGATGACGCATTCTCAGCATTGTTCTGTCGAAGTCCTTGGAATATTTGAACGCTAACAACTTGGAGAAACGTTTATTCCCCTTTTCCTTCCTTTTTCCTACCTCTTAACACGAATGTTGTGTTATTGTTGCCATTGTCGGAAACGATAAGAAAATGGATATCGTTTAATTCTTATTCATGACAATTTGCCCCGTTTAGGTAAGGTCTATATTTTCTTTCTTTTTAAGAGAAAAGGGACAACAGGAAAAGTGAGGCGAGACGCGAGACATAACGGCTCGTATAAATCATACGGCGCTCGGGCAGTGGCCTTTGAGTGCTCATTCTTCGAGCTGCTGGGCTGCTGCTGCTGGATGCTTTGAACGGACCGGTGTACGTTCTCTCAATCTTTCTCTCTCTCTCTTTCTCTCTCTCTTTCTCTCTCTCTTTCTCTCTATCTGTCTGTCTTACTTTTTCTTTCTTATTCATTCTCTCTCCTTCTCGCACCTCTTTCGAGCAGACCGGAGCATCGATTGACCAACCTCGACTTTCTTAAGCTCTTTTCACACAATAACATTCGCCTAGTAAAGTCAGTCTCTTACGACTTTGAAAGACTATCAAGATCAATTCAGGTGTCATTGTTTGACTAACCCTTTAATAATCGTTTCTCTAAGAAATGACCATATCTCTCCTCTTCCGCTGACGGAAGTCTCAATGTTTAATCATTCTTGAAACTTCATTTATTTCTACGAATTCAATTTATTAACTCTCTTTTTATCAACGAGATATACTTTCCTCGTATTTGTAAATCGATCTTTTAAAATGTCTGATACAGGGGGTGTAATTCTTTTATGTTCTTTTTATTTTTCTGTTTTAATTTTTTTTTTATTATTAAAATAAAACAAAGAAAAAAAAATCAATCAAAAGTCATCAATGTGGTTATGTCGTCTACATTTCTGGGTAACTCGTCAATGTCCATGAACCTTGATTGGAAAATTTTTCTCTTCGGAGAGTCGAACGAACGGACGAACTATCGGACGAATTTCATCGTATGATAGACGTATACGGGAATTAGATTAGAAGTTTTAAGTGAAAAACTTTATGCCGGTATAGTTGAATTAGATCGACGTTTTCCAATGAATTATCGGAATTTGAAAAACTCGTGTAATTCATTTATATTAAAAAGGAATATACGTATATTTTTCTTTATAATAAGTTAATTATTATTTTAAATAAAATCGTCGATAAAGATTTTTTTTCAAAAGTTACTAGAAAGATATGTTAGGGAATTGAGAAGTTGAAAGATTAAGGCGCATTTCCAAGAGAAAAAAAAACAAATTTCTTTCACTATGCGAGCACGCAGAATATTCGGAAGCTACAGGTGGCACCCTACTTCGAAGGGCACCCCCCGTTGAGACGGACCTGAGTGGCCAATACTCTCGTTGGCCAGGTCACGTGATCTCCCGCACGCTCTCGAAGGGAATGTCAGTGAATGAGGGTGGGAGAAGGGAAGGGGAATGACGACGAAAACGAAGAGGTAGAGGGGGAGAGAGAGAGAGAGAGAGAGAGAGAGAGAGAGGGATAGAGAGAGGATGAGAGTCAAGCAAGTAGCAGCTTCTCTCCGTTCCAATGAGACATTTATACACGCTTCAGATGCCAAAACTATTAACTACGTAGTGACACGAATCGATATATTGCTTCTCTTACGTTATTGCCTCCCTTATTTCACAACGTTATCGTTCACCCGTTCTATCATTTTATCGAACCGTTCGGAAAAATATTTATGAATCATATCCATGCGTTGAAAGAATATTAAATTCTTTATGTAGAATTAAGAAAAAAAAACATATAATTTTTTCGTGAAATTTATTTTCTTAGAGACAAAGAGAAAAAAATAGAAAAGAAAACTACTTTTCTTTCTTTAAATTCTGCCTTACCGATTTTCCCGCCTTGGCATAGGTGGAAATTGACATTCAGATGGCGCGCTCGGTCTTGTACGAAGGCGAAAAGTGTCGAAGTTAACCGAAGTCGATCGGTCTTGTCTCCGAAGGAGAAAAGAACCTTAGTCCCATGTTCGGTGCATTAAGTCGACGGCCTGTGAGGCCACGATACTACTCGCGCCACGAGTTGTACGAAACACGCACAAAGAACCTTGTCTCGTGGGTGTGTATCATTGGGGGGACGATAGTATACGACGGTAACGGGGCGGGAGAAAAGACACGTTACGTATGGCATCGATATTTTTATTGTCGTCCTTTTTTCGGCACACGAGGAACGTTAGAGAATAACGACGCGTTAAAAATCTGAATCAAGTGTGTGCGTGTGTGTGGTGTGTGTGTGTATATATATGTTGTGTCGCGTGTGTTTGTTATGTCCGAAGATGTCCACCATGAGAAGCGTGGATATCTCGATCTCTTTTTTTCATCGTGAATAAGTCGAAAGAAATTGTGTTGTTGTTGAAAGGAAAAAAGATAGATAAGGAAAGTCGTTTTAGAAGAACGTCGATTAGCTCGGCGTGTTGCTGCTTATATCGAAAGGAAAAAGGTCGAGTTCTTCGTTCGAGTGGAAAATTATTGTCGATCCGAAAACACCATGGACGCCTTCGGCATGTATCAAGTAAGTCCTGTTATCAAAGTGACCTCGTAATTAATCGAGCATCCGATGAATCTCTTTGGGAGATGTGACATCGTGATGATGATGATGATATTGACGATGATGATGGGGTGCGACGATGCACAACGGCGTTCCTCGAGATGACAGATGTCGCGACGTTTTGTTTGGACACGAGAAACTGTATGCGTTAAACGGCGCGCCTCTATCTTATTCTCCTTGCATGCGTGATGTCATGTCTCGCATACGAAGACCTAACCTAACCATGTACAAACAGCTCATCCCAATCACACACGCCCATTCCTGGTATTTTCTTTAACACGTTTATGGCATCCCATGGAAAAATAAAACAATGTTTTTACCGTTAGGTGAAACCTCATGATCAATTCTAATGCTAATTTTTCAGAGGTTATGATAGGTTGTTTGTTTTTATCCATCGATGCGTTTGACAGATGAAAGAAAACATTGGAGAATGATTTTTCTTTTTATTTTATTTCAATTTTATGATGTAATAGATTTTCAAAAAAAAGCTCTCTTTTTCTCTTTCAATTAGACGATTAGGCTTTTCCTGTTATTTTGTGAGACCGGATGTCGTTTGCTTAACGATTTCTCAATGAAAACAATCATGTAAACAGTTTGCTTAATCTTCTTTTTTAGAACGTGAGTAGTAATTGAAACGTGAGGAGGATATAACATTTAAGCCTTTGACTGCCATGCCGAAATCATATGTTTTGTCCAGGACGCCATGGCATTATTTTTATTATTCAAAGAATATAATGGCAGAATAATAATAAATTGATGTTAATAAAAAATTGTAATTGTTCAATAAGGAACTTTTTATTTCAAAGTATCTTCTATATATCAGTCATATTCAAATATACTAACTTTCAATTTTCATTTAGTTTTTTACAATTGTAAAATGTTCATACGCTCTGGTCACTGATGACCACCATGGCATCTCAGGAGAAACTGTGGTCATATATGACCGACATGGCAGTCAATGAAATTTTACTGCTTCCTTAGAAATACTAGAATTAATTATTTGTATTAATATATTGTTTGGGTATTTTTTGGAGAGTAATTATTAAATATTGTTTAATTATTATTGCAGTTTTCGCAAGGCCTGACAGGTAGACCGGAGCTGTATCAAAAGTCTAATCGGAGTAGTCATTCAAGTGATACAAGTTCTGCGTATAGTGGCTCAGACACAATGACTTCTGTACAAAGTTCTTTGGATGCGGATGCAGATGAGGTTGATCTTTCTGGTCTTGTCGAGTCCATAGTGGACAGTGATGAGGAGGAAGATCTTGCTGAAAGTATGGATGTAAGTATTGTCCTATAATTTTTAATTAACCGGTTTGGCTACATAGAATTTAATAATAATATGAGCATTCTTTATTTATTTAGAGTTTGAATGTTCGTGATGCTGTACGAGAGTGCCTGGAAAAAGATCCTGTGGAAAGATCAGAAGAAGATATAGAAACACTTTTAGAATTTACACAACAATTAAAGGCCTTCACCAATATGACATTGGCTGTAAGAAGAGCGCTGTGCGCCGTAATGGTATTTGCAGTAGTTGAACGGGCTGGAATGGTTGTTTTAAATGATGGAGAAGAATTGGATAGCTGGAGTGTACTTATCAATGGTACGGTTGAAATCGAGCACAGTAATGGGGAGGTCGAACTGCTTCATCTTGGAGATAGTTTTGGTATTTTGCCTACCATGGACCGACTTCTGCATCAAGGTGTTATGAGGACAAAGTAAGTAGGTCAATTAGAAATTATTTTCTTATGTTTTTTAACAGAAATAAGAACTAGTGTTTTGTTTTAGATGCGACGACTGCCAATTTGTGTGCGTCACACAAGCAGATTATTTTAGAATTCAACATCAAGGTGAAGAAAATACGAGAAGACACGAAGAGAATGGTAGGGTGACTTTAGTTACGGAATTAAGAGGCGCCTTGGATGGGGGAGTGCGAAGGGGTCATGTTGTGATTAGAGCAACGCCAGAGCGCTTAATGCTACAACTTATCGAAGAAAACAGTATTACAGATCCCACTTATGTGGAAGATTTTTTATTAACTCATCGAACTTTTATCAATAGCCCTTTATTAGTTGCAAATCAATTATTAGAGTGGTTTAACCAAGCTCAGGTCAGAGAACGTGTTGCACGTGTTGTATTACTTTGGGTAAATAATCATTTTACGGATTTTGAAACGGATCCAGCTATGATGGAATTTTTAGAAGATTTTGAAACTGGGTTAGAAAGAGAAAAAATGCAGGGTCAACAGAGGTGAGATGATCATTTATTTATTTAATGTAAGATTATATATAATAATTGCAAGAAATACTAATTATATATATATTTTTCATTGGAAATTTTCAGGTTATTAAACATAGCCTGTGCGGCAAAAGCAAGAACGCGAAACGTAACGTTAGCAAGGCCTAGCAGAGACGAAATTCTCCATTTTAGCATTTTAGGCGGTTACGAAAGAGGTTTTGGAATTTTTATTTCAAAAGTTGATAAGAGATCGAAGGCTGAGGATGTTGGTTTGAAACGTGGCGATCAAATTTTGGAAGTCAACGGACAAAGCTTCGAACATGTTAATCATGCCAAAGCATTGGAAATTTTAAGAGGTTCCACTCATCTCAGTATCACCGTCAAATCTAATCTTCTTGGTAATTATTCACAAATTTAATTACGATTTAAATATAGATGATGGATCGTATTTAAACACTCGATTATATGTATGCGCAGCTTTTAAAGAAATGTTACAAATGCCCGACAATTCTCCAAGGCCAAGAGGAAGGGCAAATAAACCAGAAATTCCACGACTTCAATCTGATCCACGTGCAAGACTCTCCACTCACGTTGATCCTATAACTCCAGTAAATCCTTTAAATCCTTTAGTAGGAGGCATGCATCTCTTGATTCCGGATAGTAATGTTTCTCCTTGCAAAGATGCTAAAAAGGAACATAAAGGATTTATGACTCTTGGACCTAAGAGGAGGTTACAAAAAGCACTTATGAAAATGAACATACTGCCAAAGAATACAATCAAGTTAGTATTATAAGACATATGCGTAATACGTATTATATTATACTCTATTTATAGAATATTTAAAAAAATAAACTCGTGTTCTTTGATTCGCAGCGATGGTGTGCACTTAGATGATCCTCTCGCTCCACCACACACACCGCCAGGAACGTGCGGCTCACAAACCACAACTAATCTTTATCACTCGAAAAGTAATCCCGATCTTACATCATTGTACTGTTACGACGATCTTAGAGCACCGGATTATCCGGAACACGTATTAAAGGTTTACAAGGCTGATCAAACTTGTAAATATCTTCTCATTCATAAAGAGACAACGGCGCACGAGGTAATTTAATTTACATAAAAAAAAGAACATCATGTTTAATTACGATTAGCTTTAATATCTCTTATTCATTTTTGTTCTACTTTGTTTAATTTAAGGTGGTGATGCTCGCATTACAAGAGTTTGGTATAACCGAAAGTAGTTCGAATTTCTCCTTAGCGGAAGTGAGTGTTGGCGAGGGTGGCATGATAAAGCAGCGTAGATTACCAGAACAATTGCAAAATTTAGCCGAAAGAATTGGTTTAAGTTCGCGTTATTATTTAAAGACTAATGGTATATCCGAAACTTTGGTAGCAGATGAACAAGCGCCGGAACTTATCCGTGAATCTCAAGTACATTTTCTACAATTAAATGCCGTGGAGGTAGCTATCCAATTAACTCTACAGGATTTTAGTATATTTAGGTGAGTATTATTTATTTAATAATTTTCTTTTTGATTGAAATGAAATTTCTTTAGGGGCTATTTTAACGCTTTGATGATTTTTAACTTGTATAAATTTAATAATCGTGGAAACGTTACAAAAAATTTAACTATGCATATTCACTTGATCCATTGAAAGTCGTACGTCATCGTTTATCGAATTTTTTAATTCAAATTCACCTTTTCAAAGAGGTGTATGGTTTGTTGGTTTAATGAATTTTTCTATACCGGCTTTTCGTGAAATTTTGAATGAATAAAATAAAATAATTTTAACTTTTTTGCGTTCTCTTTTCTATAACTGAGTTTTTCAAACTTTTCTACTTGTGTGTGTGTATGTCGACCCAATTTATTCGAGCAAATATATTTGTGACTGTAGATATGGATTTTATATACTATTTGCTCTTTCAATATCATAAACTCGCAGACATATCATCCGTGTAGTGTTGCTAAATTGATTTTGAATTAATTTTTAGTCGTTGCGTTTTTTATGAATTTAAAAAATTCTTTTTTAAAGGATGCAATCCTGGCGATTTCATACGGGGTCATGACCCATGCGCAAAGAAACCCTGTTCTACTATAATTTTGAAAATATAGAAATTTCATTTCTGGTGCATGTATTGTGTTACACGTTTAATGTTTTTTTTTATTATGTTACGTAATCGTTATTTTTTTACAGACAAATTGAATCTACAGAATATGTGGACGACTTATTTGAATTAAAGAGCAGGTACGGAATACCAATGCTCAGTCAATTCGCGGAGCTAGTCAATAGAGAAATGTTTTGGGTCGTTACGGAAGTGTGTTCCGAGCATAATCTTGTACGCCGTAGCAAGATTATCAAACAATTTATAAAAATAGCTCGTAAGTTTGTTATTAATTTTATAGAAGTACTATAGAATTATCATCTGTTTAATTGGAATCCTTGTTACAATTGATTTTTCTGATTATCTTAGGTCAATGCAAAGAATGTAAAAATTTTAATTCAATGTTCGCAATCGTATCTGGTCTTGGTCATGGCGCGGTGTCAAGGTTGAGAGCATCTTGGGAAAAACTGCCAAGTAAATATCAGAGATTATTTAGTGATTTACAGGAGTTAATGGATCCTAGTCGTAACATGAGTAAATATCGTCAACTAGTAGCATCCGAACAAACGCAACCACCAATCGTAAGTAATTATTATTATTATATATAACCTTAGAAAATGTTTATATGAATTGCGTTATTTAATCGATTGTATTTTTGTGTGGCAGATACCCTTCTATCCCGTAGTCAAAAAAGATTTGACTTTTATTCATCTGGGTAACGATTCTAGAGTAGAAAGTTTAGTGAATTTCGAGAAGCTTAGAATGATCGCAAAGGAGGTTCGAACTTTGACGAATATGTGTTCGTCTCCGTACGATCTGTTAACTATGTTGGAAAGAGGTGGCCAGCCACCGAGTTCCGCGATGGTAGCTTTGAATCAAATGACAACGGGTAATCAAGGTACACCAGATAAAATCTAAATGAAGAAAATAGTAAACGTTATGTCTTGTTGTTAGACGTAGACTATAATAAAATTCGTCAAACGCATAGGTGGTCAAACAGCAACGGTCAAACGACGTAAGAAATCAGCGGCAGCACCGAATCCGAAAAAAATGTTCGAAGAAGCACAAATGGTTAGAAGAGTAAAGGCGTATCTTGCGAACATGAAAGTAATTACTGATGAGGAACGATTGCACGGTCTTTCCGTCGATTGTGAACCTCATGCTGGTGCTGTAGCAATGGCTGCGGCGGTACCACTCACTGGAAGCCGGGGGAGAAGGCATCCTTCTCCTACGCTTTCAACAACGAGTAGTGCCAGCAGCACAAGCGAGGGAAGAAAGAGTATACAAGGTCGGTTGTTCGTTACAAATTATCAAACATATTTTCTTATTTATATACATGCTTGTAAATTATTGAAATATTTATAAGCCAACTATTATTATCCAAAATTGAATGAAACATTTCTTTTTCTCAGGTACAAAGTTCGGAGCTGCCTCACCCCAGGCAGTAAGGAAAATGTTGGCTCTTTCAGATCCTCACAAAACTCGACCGTATCAACCTAAACATTGTCCACCACCCCTTCCAGTACCTGGATTAGCATTGCATTCTAGCGGACTGGAGCCAAGTCCTGGTGCACCAAGAAGAGTCGGTTCCGGTAGTAGAGTTCCGATGCACGAAAGATCGCACAGCGATACTCCCTCAAGTTTACCACCCCCCGTCGATCTTAGTGCCGAAAGTAGCAGTGTCACAAGTCTGAGTAATCTTCAACCATTACGGAAAACGTTAACGAGCGGTAAGTTGTATCTATCGTTATTCACTTCGGAATGGTTTTGAACGAGATGCTGCCGAGAAGTATTAGCAAAGTAGACGTTATATTTTTCTATATTTTTTTTTGTTTTTTTTTTTTTTTTTCACGCTAATCGAACTTTTCATGTCGTGCGTTTATTTCATACATTAGACAATTTTCTAATCACAACTGTCCAAAGTTGTGATTTTTTTTCTCTTCTGCTTACTTCGTATATAATTACATTATTACATCGCTTTTGCTCGAGGCAGCTTTTAATGTAATAATAATCATAATAATAATAACAACTATAACGTGTAATTGCATTGGAATTATTTTGAGAAACTAATTATCGTTTATTCCTAATTATGATAATAAAATTTTAATTGAGTTTACGATTAAAACCAAAATTAAACTAACATACATTAACGATCTAAGGTAGTAGGTATATATACACATATGAAAGTTTCTCTAATGTGTTAGGACGAAAATGCAAGTTTGGACAATTTAGATTAGAAAAGTTGCTATTTTACACGATATATATATATAAACACACATATATATCACGGGCATGCATCTCGCGACATAACCATCCACGCACCTTATCATTGCTCGTAACGTACACTTGATCAGGTCTCGTAAATGAGAAAAAAAAATCCATTATGTCTGCACGCTGCACAGCCGTTTACGCAATTCATATAAATGTGTGTTCCATGTTATTTAGTTTATTATACTCATATATACACACGCATATTGTTATGCCGTATTTATTACCGTAGCTCTCGCGCTTTTATCGATCAGCCGTTGTTAGGTAATCGAAATCACCTTTAAACGATCCTCATTCCGTAGAAGAAATTATCTTCTATTCGAATCCAAAATTCTTTCTTTCTCTCTTTGTCTTTTTCTTAATCCTTTCCCATCTCTCCTCTTCCTTCTTCCACTCCCACCACTTTTTCTTCTCTCCTGTTTCTTCTTCTTCTTCTTTCTTTTTGACCATGGGACATACGAATAAAATCGCGTGAATTTACTTCTTTCGTTCGTTTCCAGGAGAAGGAAAGATTATTTGAGATGATGAGAGGCACGCGCTTTTATCTACGTCAACACACTTATTTAAAACGAGAATGACGACTTTGAGATCTCATCGATGAGTATATTTATAATATCTCATTATATTTTCTACGTTACGTAGCATTTGTCATTGATTAATTAGTTATTAATCAAGTTTAAACTGTCTCGAATTACTTTTACTAATATTTAGAAAAGTAGTAGTTTTGTCTTTAGTTTGCCGAGTACAAATAATCGAAAGATCCTCTCGATCAGAGCTTGTCTCTGACCTCTTCTTATTATACTTCTTATTTCTTATTTCTTAGAGCTTAGATTAGTACAATAATATAATAGCTTTTAGCAAATCGCGCGGTGGGCCTTCCCCCTGTCCCTTTTTCCCCTCTCCGAGAAAATTTAATTCGATAAGATAAAAGAGAGAAATAAAAATAAAATAAAAAAGCAAAAAATCAAATCTATGAAAAGAAAAGAAAAATCAAATAAAAATAAACTAAAATAAGAAAAAGAAAAATGAGCGTGTTCAGCGGCCGCAGCGGGACGAGACTTGGATTTTTCGAACGTGTTAAGTGATGGAAGTGTCTTGGGGACGTGTGCGTAGGTTCAGTGACGAGCAGTGATAGCGGTCACAGTACTCAACTGGACAGCCATAGTGGAAGCAGCGTAGAAGCAGGTGGCAGTCCACCGCCACCACAAAGACGGCATTCCGCCATGCAAGGTACGTAATTTTAACGTGATAAGGAAGAAGGCGAACGATCCTGTGCTCGTCGTGACTTCTTTATCGTCCTCCATTCCGTAGCATCGTGTAGTGAGTATATAAAAGTATTCCTAAAGATCAGTTATTGTCGAAGGTGTTCTCCTTATATTAGACGAGAGAGAGAATTATTTAACACACCCGATATATTATATTTCTCTCTAATGGTCCTACCTCCTTTCTTGCCTCCACACCGCCCCCGATTTTTTTTTATTACAACGTTTAACCTTTTCAATTCGACGTTTCTATTGTGTGTTTTTATTTTTTTTAAAGATATTTTTGACTGTTTTTTTTTATTTTATTCTTGTATCTTATGTAATTTTTTATACACTGTTGGACAAAAGTTTTTGATTATCACGTCTTAATTGATTGTAAGAAGAAAGTCTAATACTTGTACAAGAAAAAGATCTGAAATATTTTTTATGTGATGTCGTAAATAGTATTTAGATGTTACGTGAAATTATTTTTTTATCACTTGAGGGATAACAGTAAAGTCCTATAAAATACGTATAAGAATAAAAGAAGCGTAATAAAATTAGGAAGCTTGTACATAAGTGTGGTGTAATACAAATGCTCAGTAGACGTATGCAAACTTTTGGCCAGTAGTGTACGTAATAGGATAAAATGATGTTTCGTCTATCTGTTAAATAAGTCTTTTTCTTTTTATTCTTTTATTATTATTGTTATTTTATTTTTATTTTATTTTTTATCGACAATTTTCATACTCCAATAAATGGCTCTCTTTTTTCCTCCCTCTCCACCACAAAATTCGTTTAAATAAAAATCAACTTTTGCGCTAAATTCGCTGTACTACACGTTTTTTGCATTTATATGTATTTTTGATGAAACGTGTAAAAAAAAAAGTTGAATATTTTGTAACAGTTGTTACACACGGAACAATATGGAATATTTTAAATAAATCTTATACTTCTTTTTCAATATTTTTATTCTCACGTTTGAATGTTATTTTTTCTCGCGTTTTAATTAAATGGTTTAGCTCGTTGAACAACGTGCTGACACGTGTTTCAGTCGAATAAACGCGAATGATATGTAGAAAAAAAATTTTTTTCATTCTCTAATTAATTTTTGATCGTTTTAAATGTGTTAGTTTTATCCCCTTGTCGAAAATATTTCTTTCTGTTTAAACGAAACCTTCGTCAAATTTAAAATGATCTTATTGAGCTTTGATTTCGAAAAAACGTATGTCCCATGGCCGTTCATCTTCATTCAAATTACTTTCGCGAAAAAGTCGATCGTCTAACATATGTATTATATTATTATATAGAACCTATTATTATTATTATTATTTTATTTTTTTTTTTTTTCAAATCTTTTATCATCAAATTTACAAGTTCATTTAAGACGTTTAATTTACATGGAAATGAAATGATCCGAAAATAAACGTAAGGCTTGTATATGTATATATAGTTTTTTATTTTCTAAAAGCATGCTTTCGAATTGTTCTCAACAATTTTATTTTTTTTTTTTTTTACTTTTAAATTAAATTTCTCAAAAAATTGCTTTTTTTTAGACGAGAAAATAAAAGTTTGAATAGAATAATTGAAATATTATTTTCGTTTATAATTTTGAAAAATATGCTTGTAAATTTAATGATGTTGGGACGTTTAAAATTAGCATTATAGTTTATTCTTGAAAAATTGTTCCATCTAAGTGTCGGTAGAAAAAGAAAAGAAAACGTGCAAAGCTTGTACATTCGCATTTATTTATTTACGATAATTATATTAATTAAACATTTCATGGCTTGCGTAAGATCGTTGCTTTCAGCTTATAATATTAATTATTTTTTAATTTTAATCACAATATTATCACAGACATCATTAAGCTTTTGTACAGTAAAAACGCATTCAAAAAAATAATCATATTTTGTAACATATTATATACATTATCTCGTTATTTTAATTTCGTTTAATGATAAAAAAAGAAAAAACAAAGTACACGGTCGTTTTATATTTATTTGTTATATTTGCTTACCAAAAAATGTCTCTCATGCTTCTGTCATCTATTTGTGTAAATATATTTACTGTATATATATATATATAAAATACCTGTGTACATAACACAATTCTAGAGAACAAATAAAGAAATTTGTAACTTTGAAGAGAAAGAGAGGAAAAAGAAAAGAAAAGAATAGAAAAAAAAATAAATAAATGTTTCAAAATAAAATAGCAGAGAAAAAAAATATCGTATGTGGCCTCTGTGTATGGTGCAGGGTCAATTATGAGAGGTGGTGCTCCACCGTTTCCTCACGCTGTAGCAGTGTTACCTCCGCTTCCTGCCAACCACAACCAGAATCACAACCACAATCATCATCATCACCAACATTATCACGATCATCACCATCACGAACCCCAACCCCCTCAAGGTGAGTTTGCTGCGTCTACCTGCTAACTCTCTCGGTCACTGCTACTATCGCTTATCTTTACTAAAATTTATCTTTAATAAAATTGTTCTCTTTCTTTTTATTATTTTTCTCTCTCTTTCTCTCTATATCTCTCTGTTTCTGTCTGTCTGTCTCTCTCTCTTTCTCATTTCTTTTCAATACAATGCATTTTTCATATCAAATAAATCTCTTCGATGATCGCAACGAATCCGTCGGCTCTATCGTAAAAAAAAAAAATAATTTTTATATTTTTAACCACTCAAAAGTTTAATTAATGTTCAGTATCATAAACGAAATAATAAGTCAAGATTGATTTTTTCAAAAGGGATGTTTTCTTTTTACAAAGAGCCGATATATTTGTTTTGCGTGGTATCATAATGAATAATATATTGTAATACGAATATTGAATTTAAGAAAAATAAAGGATACTTTTGTACTATAGCTTTTTGCGTAACAAATTAAATTATACTTGTATGATAAAATTAGAATTAGCTGAGGAATGTAATTAGTGCATTTGTTGCATTGCTTTTTTACGTATGTGTGGGATGCTTCCGTACTGTGTTGGATTGCGTTAGACGAATGTAAAAAGTGTTGGATTCGCGGTACTTTACTGTTTTATCTGTACGTATTGCATGTTATTTCTTTGTTCGATTTCTTCTAACGGAATACGAAGGCTTCTTTTCAGGGTAAACTAATTCACATGGAGAACGGTTTTTCCGTAGATGCGTTGGTCTTCCTTCCAAAGTCTTATTTGTCACTTCTTTTTTTCTTTCTTCTGTATATCTTTCTCTCTATCTCTGTCTTCTTTCTATCTCTTTTTCTCACTTACACTCTTTCTCTCTCTCTCTCTCTCTCTCTCTCTCTCTCTTTATCTGTTTTTCTCTTTCTCTTTTTCTCTTTCTCGTTGATCGGACACAACGGTGGAATCGTGGCGAGTGTTGGTGGTTTAAAATAACCAACCCCCACGCTTATTCCTCATTTTAATCCCGAATTAGCGTGATTCTCTCTTGCCGATGATGATTCAAATAATTGAAAATAATATGCAATTGTTTGTCGGTCAAAATTAATAAGTTAAACGATTAACATTATATATAATAAATAAATTCTTAATATATATCTTTTTTTTTATTAATTTTTAACTTTTGTCGTAATTAAATTGTAAAAGAACAATTGTTTGCAGGAAGAAACTCGCTAGACGGATTGACGAATCTCGATTGCGAATTTGTTCGACGATTCGACATTATTTCGTAAAAAAAAGGGTTTATTTCTTCTTAATCCTTTTTTGTTTTTTCTTGGATTTTGAATTGCTGGCGATTACTAATGGAGTATAGAAAAAAATAAAAGAAAACTAAAAAAAATATATATATATATTATATTAAACATTTGAAGGAAAAAGACTATATATGTATAGGGAGTCTCTGTAGGGTTTTTTTTTTGCGTTGTGTTGTTGCTGTTGTTTTCTTTTGTTGGTGGTGTGAGAATCGAGAGAAAGAAAGTCGAGGGTTTTCAGGTTCCGGTTTGGCCGGAGTCCAGGGCCCACCAAGTGCAGGGACAACGACCATTATGACGAACCTAACATCATCCATGACGGGTGGAATGACGTCGAATGCGGCATCGATGAGAGCCGTTGGACTGGGTGGCATGGGGGGTGGTAATCAGTGCCGCCAACCACCGGCATATAAAGTTGCAGCACAGATGGCAAGATTACACAGGCTTGGTCGTGCTCACAGCCACGAAGGAGTCACTTATAGGACCGATCATGAAGATGGTACTACACCCAACACACATAACATACACATAATCGAAATAATACTACGCACACCCTCTTCTTTCGCGGTTCTCCTTTTTCTTTAGTATTTTATATAAATATGTATATAAAAAACAAAAGAACATTCGCGTCTCTACGTGACTCAAGATTACTTTCTAGTATGTGTAAGATTGTTTACTCGTTTATTAACGTGTGTGTGTGTGCGTCGTGATTTACTTTACGGGTTACACACAAGTTACACACGAGTTACATACGTAGCCTATCATTTTTTATTTTCGTAATTTCTCTCATCCACATGGAAGTTAAATTAATTTTTTTTACTTAAGATGATAATGCGTATGTAAGTATATACGAGTTATCTGAATTTATGTATAAACGTGTACATTCGTTCTCTCTTTCTCTTTTTCTCTTTCTTTCTCTCTTTCTTTCTCTCTTTCACTCTCACTTTCATTCTCTCTCTCTCTCTCTCTTTCTTTTTCTCTTTTTCTTTTTCTATTCTTTACATACAACGATCAAAATTCGTCATCACCAACATTTCTATCTTCTTTTCAGTTCCCCCTTAATCCTGCCCCCCCCCTTTTCCAACTATGTCCCGTGACATAGTGTTCGACTTTCTTCGTCAGAGACGAGACATTTTCAGAGCCATTACAACGGAAGAGGGTAACTTTGAAAATACGGAGAAAAGGATACAGGGCAATGAAAAATCGTTTTAACGTCCTTTGACGATAATACAATTTGATTCAACTCGTAGTTTGTTTCGTAGCTCATT